GTTGTGTGGTATGCACACCCCCACAAGTATGAGAGAGAGAGAGAGAGAGAGAGAGAGAGAGAGAGAGAGAGAGAGAGAGAGAGAAAATGAATATGCCCCTAGCACAGTGCCCCATGGAAGCATGGTGCATATCGTGTGTCCTCCATCCCTCTTGGTCCCATCATTTTAAGTCTATGCATTACTTCTTGTATAAACATGAAATGTAGCCTAGCTGGAGGATAGATGGGGGTATGTCCCAAGGTTATATTGTCCCTGTCCCTGTTTCTCTTCCCCTGTATCCCCTCCTCCTTCCCCTTCTGTCTGCTTCCCAGTCAGCTATGAAATAAGCAGCTATCCCCCATGGCATGTTCCTGCTATCAAGATGTCCTGCCTAAACCCATGGGACCAAGCCGTGTAGATTGAACCCTCTGAAACCATGAACCAAAATGAATTCTTCTTTCCTTAAGTTCTGTCTATCAGACCTTTCATCCACAGCAAGTGAGAAGAGTACTTCGTCCCCTTCCTAAGGACATCTAAGCATGTAAAGTCAAGGTCAGCTTGCTGTTCTTAAAGCAGAGATTTAATCTGTCAAAGTTTAGCTGTTGGATGGCATCTAAGTAGTGAGAACTGCTGTGATCTTCACTATAGTGAGGAAAGCCTACCAGCATGAATTCTGGGTACCCAGGGTAGCAGAGTTCAGATAGAAACTCAGCCCACAGTGTCCGCTGAGCACCATCAGCCACGTAGACTGACTTTCTTCCACATTGTGATAAATCTCTCACCAACTTTCCTACTTTTGCTCCAGATTACACTTTAGATTCGCACTTTCTCTCTTCTCTGCCTTCTTTCCCCATGTTATGGTGATTTTATCCCAAGCCCCACTTTCCCCTGTCATAGGTTCCCATTTCCTTTTTTAAAGAATCTTTGGCGACAGGGTCTCATGTAGCCCAGACTGACCTCAAACTTGCTGTGTAGCTGAGGATGACCCTGACCTCCTAGACTCCTAGTTCCACCTCCCAAGTTCTGGTGTTATAAGTGTGTGCTACCATGCCTGGCTCCATTTACTTTTTTATGAACCCCATCCTTTAAAAACAAAAGAACATAAGCTCATTCCAGTGCTCTCTACAGCCATGTCGTGCTCATATGGCATCTGTCGGTATCTCTATTACACATCCTTCATTATTAGGTGCCTGTTGCATAATCAAAGCTCTGTATACAACAATTGACCCTCAGAGGTGATTTTCTTACATAGGCAAGTATACTCTGCCCTCCCACTTCGAGCCTCTCTCTGGATCTTGATCCTGGGGACTGCCATTTGAAGTCTGCCCCTGACACGAATATGTCCACAGCTTCCTTTGGGACTGGGGCTGCTTTTTCCCACAGAGCTGTTTGTGCTGTCTGTGTTATTTCTGGATGAGGGTCTTCTGTGACCTTGCAGAGTGGAATTTATGTCTTTCTGCATCTGAACTTCAAAGCTTTGGACTCACAGTCCCCTCTTGCTGTTTTCCATGAACACCCCTTGTCTCCCTGTTCTGAGTGGTTGCCCCAGTCACAGGGGGGTAGTCTGTCCACAGGGAGTATGCCACATCCACGTGGGGGAGAGCTTTAAAGAGGGCAAGCCTGAGGGCGGCCCCCACAGGCTCTGCTAAGCAGCTGAATAAACTCCCTGTCACTCTACCTACTGTTTATACTTGGGAGAGATGACAATAGAGTTCCCTTCAAACTCTGAGCTGCCGTGGAAGCAGGAACAAGTTTGTTTCCCATCTAAGAAATCTAAGATTTTAACCTCATGTTTCCTTGGCCCCACAAAAGGATTAGTAAACTAGGGATGACTTTCACTCATTTACCACAGGTAGTCTTTGGTAATAATCTCAAAAGGTAGTCCTCATGGAAACCTTTTTTGAATCAGAGCTAAGTTCCTTCTCTTGTTCATTCAGTAAATTCTCACACTCGTTAGCTGCAATCTTGGCATGATCCTGACCATAACCTCGTATCAGAGTCTTAGTTTCCCAGATGTAAAATGCAGATGACTCTACTTTAGTGTTTAGGATTTTTAAAAAATTAAGTAAAGCAACGTAGAAGACAGTGCTTTGTAAATGTTCGCTATTAGTGTTTGATGCTCCTTTTAAATCAGATTGAGTAACCTTTGTCTAAAACACATGGGACCAGAAGTATTTTGGGTGTATGGGTCATTTGTGTATGTGTGTGTGTGTGTGTGCATGCGTGTGTGTGTATAAAATGATATAAATGAATGAATATAATGAAATATCTTAGGTGTAGTTTCTAAGTCTGAATTCAAAATTCATTTTTTAAATGTATCTTATATACTTACTCTGATGGCATTTAAGAGTTTTGATGCAAGAAGCACCTTATTTTTATGTATTATTTATATTGTGCATATGTTTTCATTTTCGTTTCGGTTTTTTGAGACAAGGTCTCCCTGTAGCCCCTATTGACCTGGAACTCATTATACAAAGCAGGCTGACCTTGACCTCATAGAGTTTCACCTACCTCTGCCTCATAAGTGCTGAGATTAAGTATGCTACCAAGTCCACATGTGTTTGGTTTATGACACGAGTGTGGAATTTTCCACTGTGCCAACAGATTGGAGTTCAAAATGTTTCAGATTATGAAGAATTTTGTTTTTTCTGTTTGTTTGTGTTTGTTTGCTTGGATCTTGGATTTTTGAAGGAGGGATGCTCAATTTGTAGTAAGGTTTCTGTCCCTGTACTGCAGCAAAATACATTAAGCACCAGAGGATTTGAATCTTTCCATGGCCAAATACACTCCTCCTTGTGGTAGGAATCCCAGGCCGCTTCATTCTAGAAGCTCTGAAATGTGAACTCAGAACCCTTTAAAGCTGCCATCCCCTACCCTTGACCTCTCATGAGATGCGAGGAAGCAGAAAGAAACCCACATACCATCTTCTCAAAAGCTCTTGGGTTATGGTAGTTGAAAACTGAAAAACAGAAAAATATTCCTTATAGTGGGGCACGCTGGAAGTCCCACCCCCAGCCACTATAGAGGCTGAGACAAGAGGATCATCTGAGCCCAGGAGTTTTAGGCTAGCCTGGGAAACATGGTAAGAGCTTATCTGTTGAAAGGAAGGAAGGAAGGGGAAGAGAGAGAGGGAGGAAGGGAAGGAGGGACGGAGGGATTTTTTTGAGGGAGGGAAGGAAAAAAAGTCCATCCCCTTGGTCCTTTGGCCCACTGGAAGGAAAGGAATGAAAACAAAAAACAAAACCCACCATGGCCTCCAGCTGTGTTGGGTCCAGCTTTAAAATCACTGAGAATAAACCCCAGTATACACAGTATATAGTCCAGGCACAGAAGGCTGCAGCAGTCACCCAGGACCATTCAGAGGCTTTAACCAAAACAAACAGGCAATGACTTAGAAATATCTTCCTCCTTATTTCACCAGCACTAACATGGCAGTTTTCAGGTCATGATTTTTTTTTTAATGTAAGCAAATCACAACTTTGCAAATGCTTCCAGGAATAATGATTTTAATCTTGTCTTATACCTAAGGCTCAGTGCCTCCTACTTTCTTTTTAAAGTTCATTAACCATAAATCAAACTATTAACAAAGAAATAGCATCACAACTAAAACAATCAGTCATAAAATGAAGTAAATGTTGAATAAATGAAATAATGTTTATTTGTAATTTACCTTAATTCCAAGAAAAGATTTGGTGTGAGTAGCCACAGCTGTTGGCGTAGCTGAGGCACCTCCTGATAGTTGATGCCCTGTGTCTCTTCTAATTATATCATGTCTGTGTTCCATGTGGTATGCAGAGCCTGGTCACACAGATGGGCATGCTCTAACTTCAACATTCTTTATTCTAACAAGACCCGACACAGTAAGAATGAGATGCAGAACAGCACGTGATTCACTGTGCCATTTTTTTCTATCTTTCAGAGACTCTGACCTCTTTTTGTTGGACACCCGTGTTGTGTGGGCCTCAGAAGAAGGATGGCTAGAATTTGACATCACAGCCACTAGCAATCTGTGGGTGGTGACACCACAGCACAACATGGGGCTCCAGCTGAGTGTGGTGACCCGAGATGGTAAGTTGTGACTTGCATGCTGCCAACATCTGCCCCCATAGCCATTTTCATTCATTTCCTCTCTAGCAGTTATGGTGGAGCCATGGTTTGTAGTCTAGCCCTTGGCTCCAAGATGACTTTGTTTACTGTTTCCTCATGACTGTGTTGAAAACTAGAACATTTCCCTGATCTCTCCTAGGAAGGACTTGGAGATGCTCAGGCTATGACCCCACAACAGTAGC